CACACATCTTTACTAGCAAGTGTTCACTGAATGAGTCATTGGTCTGGTTCGAGGCCTCTGGCTTCTGCTACACTGTGGACACTGGGCCCTCACTGGGACTCCTATTGGATTTCCTATTGCTGTCCTGTCATGGAGACCCTAAAGCTTTGGATCTGCAGGTTCGGCCCCTTCATGTGCTCCAGCAGATCATAGATGGGGTGGATACTGGGATGGGCCAACTCACAGGCCTGGTTCTGGGCCTGGGTGGTAGGGACAGGTTACTGATGAAATGGGTTTCTACATCCTTAGTGTCTGGGCAGGTAGACCTTGTACTTCCATTCAAACTGTGTCAACACATGCACTGGCAGTAATCAATGGCTCTCTAATTGGAGTTAAGGCTCACTCAAGAAGAGGGAGACCACGCCTGTGAGAACAGTCTAATATCTGTCCTATACCCACAGATAGTGTAGTTCTTACCCTTAGTCAAGGAAACTTCTCTTTTCAACAGATGGAGACCATTTCAGAAACCCACAACCAACCAAAATGCTGAGTTATGGAGCCTGGTCCCAGTGGATGCATTTACAAGACACCTCTGTACCTATGGCTCAGGAAGTATTGCAGAAGAGGTGGCAGAAAGATGTTAAGGGCGGGAGGATCAGGGAGTTTGCTGTGAGACTGTGTCTGAAAGGGTTTTCCGGTGCAAGTGTATCTTAGCAATCTCACTTGTTGTCATCACTAAAGGCCAATTCCATGTTTCCACCATCACCACTGTGCCATATTTTCCCTATGCTCATGTTCCATAACCTCAATAAAGCCCACGCTATTAATGTTAGCATTTCCGGCATCATCTAGCCAGCCCCCGCTGCACTATGCATTGTCAGTACTCAGTACTTAGTCAGCCCAGGGTCTTATGGCTGTACACCAAGTAATCAGCGCAATCACTGCGTGGCTACTTAAGCCTCTGTACACACGCGCTAAGCCCCTCTTTAAAAGCTAGCGCCACCCGCTCCTCGGTCTCTGTCACTTCTCTTCCCAAGGCAAGACTTCACCAATAAACTTAAAACGGGGGGGGGGGGGGGGGGGGGGGGGGGGGGGGTGGGGGTTGGTGTTGTCATGGTTCGTTCCTGCCACTGTTAAACTACAATTACAGCCTGCTCTCTCCTCCTCTCCGCTCTCTTCTCTCCTCCCTCTTTCTCTCCATCCTCACTCAGACATGGCCTTTTGCACCACCCCAATAAATCTCTTGCATGAGCTCTGTTGTGTTATGTGACCCCGATCGCCAGGATGCCCTTTGCCACAAAACCCTTTCAGGCCTGTTACCCTACAGTGTCTCCTACTGATGCCAGAAGCCACACTCACAGTCTCACCAACATGGCTGCCTAAACTTGAAGAACAAGGATGACACCAAGCGACATGCCAAAGTGGACAGGGTGACGTCCACAAGGCCTCAACTCTGCACAGAGAACGATAGCACTCTACAGGAATGCTGAGAGTGGGAACAATCATCTTCCCAGGGAGGAGCACACTAACTGATTATCCAATACCAAATGGTCGGCCTTGAAAACAGACATACAAGTAACATGATACAGACTGTCTTAGTCTGGGATTTTATTGCTGTGAAGAGACTCCATGACCACGGCAACTCTTATAAGGAAAACATTTAGTTAGGGTGGCTTGCTTACAGTTTCAGAGGTTCAGTCCATTATCATCATGGTTGGGAGCATGGCCGCATGCAGGCAGATATGGTGCTGGAGCTGAGAGTCCTACATCTTGCAGGCAACAGAAAGTCACACTGAGGGAAACTGAGGGAAGCTTGAGCAAAAGAGTCCTCAAAGACTCTTTTGTCACCCTCACAGTGACATACTTGCTCCAACAGGGCCACACCTCCTAATAGTGCCATCCCTTTGGGGGCCATTTTCTTTCAAACCACCACACAGATGGAACAGGTTTTGTGTGTGTATAACATATATGTATGTAATATATATGTAATAACAATAAAAAAAGATGCCATGAATTTAATAGACAGCAAGGAGAAGTAAATGGCAAGGTTTGGAGGTAGGAAAAGGAAGGGAGAAATGATGAAATTATAATCTCAAAAATAAATGAAAAATGTTTAGAATCCTTCAATTAAAACAACAACCACCATGTTGTGCCGGAGTTGCACGAAGCAGTGTTCCCATGACTGTGAGCGTACACAGGATGTCTGCATGGTGTCAAAAACACTGCTGCCCTGAAGCAGCCAGGCTCCTGGGGAGATGGTCACAGCAAGGACAGTGGGAGCTTCGGCAAGTGAGAGAAAGCTGGGAAAAGCCCCCAGAAGCTGGGGTGGGCATCCAGAGGACACAGGAGTGGGTCTGAAGAGGTCTCACTGGACAAATTTAAAGGGAACATAATAAAACAGAACAAATTATTATTATTATTATTATTATTATTATTATTATTATTATTATTATTAATAGCATAGAGATTTTAAGAGCGTCTTTTTATTTTTCTAGCCCAGGAGTCAGGAGTGGTGGTGCACATCTGTAATCCCAGCAGCTGGAAGATGGAGGCAGGAGGATCAATGAGACCTTGTCCTGCTGGGGATTGAATTTATGAATTCAATTTATGAATAATATGAATTTATTTCTCAACTTATTAAGACAGGTACTCTACCACTGAGCTACACCCCTTGGTACAGCCTCACCTCTTGGCCAAGCATGGCAAGAAAATCATTAATTCAGGTCAGCCTAGGCTACAAAAGAGAAAGAAAGGGGAGGAGGAGGAAGTGTTTTGTTGTTTTGTTTTGCTGTGCTGGAGACTGACTACAGGATCTCAAACATAATAGATTAAGCACTCTACTAATTGAGCCACAGTCCTAGCCGGTAACAGAATCCAGGGAAGAGCAGAATGTACTTTTTAAAAAGATTATGTATACAGTGTTCTGCTTGCAGGCCAGAAGAGGGCACCAGATCTCATTATCGATGGTTGTGAGCCACCATGTGGTTGCTGGGAATTGAACTCAGGACCTCTGGAAGAGCAGCCAGTGCTCTTAACCTGAGTCAACTCATCTCCTCCTCCACCACCCTTTAAAAGAAAAAACGATTTACAGACTGTACGTTTACTAGTAGTAATTGCATCAACACTGAGGTCATGGAGAATAACATTGACAGAAGTCATACTTAAAAAAAAACCCTATTACTGTGCACATGTGTATGCGTCAGAGGACGGCTTTCAGCGTCCATCCTCTTCCCAGCATGTGAGTTCTGGGAAAAGAACGCAGGTCGTCAGACTTGCTCAACAAGCGTCTTTAACCGTAAAGCCACCTCACCTGCTCAGACGCCGTACTATCTTTACGACTGTCTCAGCTCAGTTTTGGAGGGAACTGGAATCGGAGCCCCACCCACTGCGCACAGAGTTCTGCGCGTGCGCAGTCCTAGTCTGGCGAGACGGTTCACACGGCCGGCCGGAGGGTCAGATTGGGCCCGCGAGGCGGAAACCCGCCCCCGCAGTTCCGGCTAGCGCAGCCCGGGCAAGAGTGGCAGCATGGAGGAGGCGCCCCACGGTGAGCTGGCGCGGGCCGCGTGGGCGGCGGGCCGCTGGGACCGGAACGCTCTGACTGTGCCCTTGTCTCCGCGCAGGCTGCCCCGGGGCCGACAGCGCCCAGGCGGGCCGAGGAGCCTCGTGCCAGGGATGCCCCAACCAGAGGCTGTGCGCGTCGGGCGCCGGCGCCGCACCGGACCCGGGTGAGGAAGCGGCCGGCGGACCAGGAAGTGGAAGGGGCGGGGCTTGGAGGATGAATGACAGCGGCCAGCAGGCCGACTTGTCTGTGGTTGAGGGGGGTTTGGCGTAGTAGGCGGAGCTTGAGGAGCGAGGGGCGGCTTTAAAGGTCAACAGCGGAGGAAAGAGGTGGAAGTGGAGGTTGAGTCTGACCTATGACAGCCAGGAAACCAAAGTGGGCATTAAAGTCAGCATGGTGGCTCAGGCCCGTTCCCCCGGCACTCTGGGGGTGGGAGGTAGAAGCAGGAGGATGACCACAAATTAGAATCCAGCCTGGGCTACATGATGAGACCCTGTATAAATGAATGAACATTGGGCCGAGTGTGTTGGCACATTGCTTGTAATCTCAGCACTTAAGACGTTTTCACTTTTAGAAAAGAATCAGGAGTTCAAAGTCATCCTTGATTATATAGCGGATTAGAGGCCAGCCTGGGCTTAGATGAGACCCTGTCTCAAAAAAAAAAAAAAATCAATAACTGAATAGGACTTTAAAGAAGGCTAGAATAGGAAAAAGTGTTGTAGGACAGGGCGAGTGCTTGAGTGACAGCCACTGACCTCACTGTACACAAGGCCAAGCACAGAGGACAGATGTTGAGGTCTGTCACAGATCACTGGGCTCTGGTAGGGAGAACAACCCTTTTGTGGAGTGAGTCCATCACTTGGCAGAAATGAGTGTTCTTTATCTCAGTGGGGAGACAGCTGTGAGGATGAGACCAAAGTGGGGGAGAGAAGCAGGAGCAACCAGATTAAACCCTTCAGGACCGGCTCCAGGTGAGGAGGGCTGAGGTCCCACCCAGAAGGGGCTTGGAAAACAGGAAGCTGGGAGAAGGAAGGCTCTGGTACTGATTGTTGGGTTACCTGCAAACTGTGGCCTTGAGCAAAGTTTCTGATTGCCTTCATCATGAAAAAGTTACCCCTCTGTGTCGTTTTTAAAGATTTCAAGAGGATGAGATGTTAGTTATCGGGATGGGTACTCAGCTGTGAGCCTGTCTGTCAGGATTTCTCATCCTCAGCACTAGTGACGTTTGAAGCTGATCATTCCTGGTTATTAGGGCTGCTTGTGCTTAAACACCTAGCATCATCCTACACGCTACTAGTGGTCCCTCCTTGTGACAGCCAAAGAATGTCTGCAGGTGTTGACCGATGTCCCCTGGATTGTAAAGCCTTGCTGTCTGCAAGGTTCTGATCAGGAGTTTGAACACTGTACCCTCCTGGGAGCCCATGTTCTAGTAGATGAGGCAATGAATAATCAAACAAGACACTTTCAGGGGTGGCAGTGGCCACATTTTCTTCCTAGCATTTATTATTATTTTGCTGAAGTGATATCGCACAAGGAGAGTTAGAAACAGCTTAGAGAGTGACCCTTCCAGCCCTCTGGGAAGAAGGACACGCAGAGCCAAGGCAGGGAGGTCATCGCCTCGCCTGCTTCTTTGCAGCCGTGGAGGAAATCAAGGAGAAGATGAGGACGGTGAAACACAGGATCTTGGTGCTGTCCGGGAAAGGTGGCGTTGGGAAGAGCACGTTCAGTGCCCACCTCGCGCACGGCCTGGCAGAAGATGGAGACACGCAGGTGCGACTCTGGGCTGTCCTGGGAGGTGCTTGTGTCAGAGCCCCTGATGGGAACCAACCTCTCTGACTGTCTTGACCCTGCAGAGAGAATGAGGAGCTGCCTGGCCACTGGCTAAGGTGTTTCACTGGGTTCTCTAACCAAGAGGGCAGCTGATTGTCACGTTTCACTGGGGCCTCTTCTACCTGCCCCTCATAAAGCTCTTTCTGTCTTCTTGAAGTCCAGATCCTGAAGTACAGTTTGGTCCGTCTCCTGTGAGTGAAGAATGGTAATTACATATTTAAATGGTTACTTCCCAAGTCACACAAGCACCTATATATTATTCTTGTTTTTGTCCATAAAGCAGGAAACATTTTCTTGTTGCCTCTTATAGAAATGACCCTTGTGCTAGGTCATTCATCTCAAGTGTACAGACATGAAATTGGAATCACCTCACCAGGCCCATGTGACACATGCTTGTAAATCCCAGTATGTTGGAGCCTGGGGGCAGGAGGATGTCTGAATTCAAGGCCAGCCATGTCTACAGAGTGAGACCCTGTCTCAGAACAGACAAAACTAACTCAGATCCCCAGCACTCTGCATCAGTACCAGCTTTAATAAAGGGTGGTGCCAGCCAAGGGCAGCGCAACTTCATATCCCAGCTCTACCCACATCACTGCTGATGCCCAGGCTGGTTGCCAGACTCCGCCTCCATTTTCTCGTCTGTGAGATGGGGCTCAGAGGCCTGGGTGAGAGGGAGCAGTTAAAGTGCAAGTCCTGCTCCTCCCGCACAGTGTCCTGGAAATGTCCCCCACAACCATCCTCATCATGGCTGCACTTTGCTAACTGAAATTCAGAGGGTGATTGCTTTGAGAGCAACCTACCCAACCCACAGGCCAGAGCAGGTTAAATGTTCTGTTAGGGGACAGTCTCTTGCCACCAGAGGGTCAAATTTACATTGCCTAGTACAGTGCAGTCTTTTTGATCACATTGCATTTTCCACAAGGGGTGGGGACTGCAGTACAGTGGTGGAGCATGTTTGAGAATCAGTCCCTGCCTCCCACAAAAAAAAAAAAAAAATTCTAACAACAAAAGTTGACCTGTATTGGCCAGAATAAGTTTTGGCTCTAGAACTGTTGGGAATATTCTTAGAGTGTCTACCACAGCCTCTGCCCCAGCCAGGCATGGGGAGCTAAGTTCACGTGCCTGTCCTCCATACAAGTGTGTCTTGCTACACACCTGTCAAGACCTTCCAGTATGCAGTTCAGTGTGGAGACAGGACCTGGCAGGCTGTATTTCTTTATGCAGTTAGAGTTATTTAAAAAAACAAAACAAAACAAAAAACAAAACAGGTGAGCTGGGTGTGCTGACTCACACCTGTGGCCTTGGCATTTGAGAGGGCTGCCAAGAGTTCCAGGTCAGCCTGTGCTACAGAGTGAGCCCCGACTCAGAACTGGAAGCAGGCTGTAGGGAAGCCTGCATTCTCGGGGCGGCGTCCTGGCAGTGACTGCAGGGCCATCTGCCGTGCACAGTGTAGACGCATGTGGTCACCCTGGATGGAGCTTGGTGATGAGCATCAGGAACGCAGTTTCTCCAGCCCTCAGGCTGCCTTCTGTGACCCAGTAGAGGCTTGGCACTCGACTGTTCCAAGCTGCTGTTTGTCATCTTGTTTGGAAAAGACCTAGGGTAAAGACAGTAGAAATGGAGTTGAGTCCCGACATCAGGCAGAGGAAGGAAGATGTATGTAAATGAAGGAGATTTTGTAGTCCAGGCCAAGGGCCTAGGAGGATCCCATACCAGCTTCCATTGCACATGTCCAACTTCTGCAAAGTACCCTGGGTGATCTTGGGCACCATGGATGAAAGGTGAGCAGCATCAGTACTGTCAGTTCAGGGCCTGTGAGGAAGCACCTGAGGCCCTTCCCTGGGTTTGTAGACACCCCAGCTGGAGGAGCCTTAAACCCTCAAACTCATTTCAAAGGCCAGCAGCTCGGATAGGCAAGACCGAGGGAGAAGCCTTCATGTGAAGTGGCTTGGAAGGCTCAGCGTTTGAGCCAGGACCCTGTTAGGGAAGAAAGTTCACATTTTAAGGGGGGCAGAGTTGATACCCACAGCACGTCCACCCCACTTACTGTGAGAGACTCCTCACCATCAGCCAGCTGGGAGGAGGTCCTGCGGATGGACAGACAGGCCAGGTTTTCAGCAGGCACTCACCAGCCTGGCCTAGGCTGAAGAGGGAAGAAGTGAGTGATGGTGACTTAGGTGTCATCTGCCACAGGGAGCAGCCCAGGGAGGTCCTGAGCACAGCTCTCACCGCCTTCCTGGACAGTGAGGTGACTGTCAATGTGGGTATTGCATCCTGGTGTCACTTGGCTCAGTTCCTTCTGTGGCTTGTGGGGAAAGCCTTTCCTCAGAAGGAGCTGCTGAGACCTGCAGGTGACTGCAGGTGACTGCAGGTGACTGGAGAGCTGCCAGCACAGCAGAGGTCCTCTGCTTTCCCATGTCATGGACCCAGGTCCCATCCTCAGGTGGCAGAAGTCCCTGTGCTGCCCTAGGCGCCAGGCCAGCAGAGGACAGGAGGACAGGAGGCACAGGGGGATCGCGGTGATGAAGTTCTCTGTCCCGGTACACCCCGGTACACCCCGGTACCACAGTCAGCCGGCATGCAGAGGAAGTAGGATGGAGAGGGAGGAGAGAAGAGAGTGTGAGGCAAGTCCCAGAGTTCCCCAGGGGGCTGCACTCCACTTTCCAGACCACCAGTTCTCAAGATGAATGGCTGCCTTGCACAAGGCCAGCACGTGCTGCCACGGGCCAGTTGTCAGCAAGGGTGGGGACAGACTTAGGTACAGTCTCTTCTGAGACTGCCTAAGTCCCCCACAAGAACTCCCCAGATCCCTTTCCTATTTTTAAAGATTATCCTTATTTGCATGTGTGTGTATCTGTGTAACTGCCATGTGTGTGCAAGTACCTAGAGAGGCCGGGAAAGGGTGTTGGATACCCTGGAGCTGGAGTTACAGGCATTTTTGAGCTGCCCAACGTGGGTATTGGGAACTGACTGCCTTTTTAGAGGACCAGGTTCAATTCCCAGCACCCACATGGCAACTCACAACTGTCTACAACTCCAGTTCCAGGGGATCTGATGCCCTCTTATGGCCTCCATGGGCCAGGTTGGGGGGAGTGTGCATGAGTGCGGTGTCTGTGGAGGCCAGAAGGGGGCACCAGATCCCCTGAAACTGCAGTTCCGATGGTCTTGAGCTACTGGACACGGGTGCTTTGAACTGTGCTCTGTTGAAGAGCAGCGTGATCTCTCGGCGTCTGAGCCCTCCCTCCAGATCTCCTGTCTCACTGTAAGGCTCTGTGGGAAGTCTGTTGTCAACTTGGTCACAGGAAAATGCTGCTTGCCTAGAGGTCAGCCAGAATTTCTATTCAGACCTCCCCTCCCCAGTAGGCCTGAGTGTGTTATGGGAAGAGCACTGGCACTGGAAACTTTGACTTTGTCCTGTCTCTGTTTCTTACTCACTGAGCAAGTCCCCAGACTCTGAATCTCAGCGATGTCTTCTGTGATACAGAAATCACAGGACACTCCTTGGCTGAGTGACCTGCTGTGAGATCACCCTGTCCCACACTGGGGCCTGTGTGGACGACGACGACGACGACGACGTGCCCTAGGAGTTGCACTGTATCAGTGGCCTGGAAGGGCCACGTTACACCTTTCCCCTGAGAAAGTGAAAGCTCAGTCGTCTGTTTTAATGTGTCCGTGGCTGTGTCCTGTCCTGATGTGCACATCTCGAGGGTCCAGCAGTCAGTGGCCTTCCTCTTCTCATTCCCAGGTCGCCCTTCTTGACATCGATATCTGTGGGCCGTCGATTCCCAAGATCATGGGCTTGGAAGGAGAGCAGGTGAAGTGTCAGAGGACTTGACTGGTTCTCTGTGGGCGAGCACATGCAGGAGCCCCGTCCTTCCTCAGCGGCTGTGGATTTGGGGGTTTGGGATTAGGCATAAAGTGCGTCCACGTCTGTGAGAAGCATTGGTGCCTTCGTGGGTGGGGGAGGGAGACAGCAAGCAGGATGCAGGTGTGAGAGGTGGAAATTCAGCTCTGAGCGCTAACTCGGGGCTCGAGTGTGTGGGTCTGCGTGGAAGCTAGGGACTCTCGGTGCTGTGGTCTCGCCTAGGGAGCTGAGAGCCTGCTTATGGGACTGGAGAGTGACAGGGCAGGAAGGACCCCTGGTGGTGTGCAGAAGCAGAGCTGGGCCTCAGAAGCTCCACGTTCTCCTCACGTGGGAGGGCAGAGGACGGGAGGCCAAGGCCGGAGAGGGGCTGGCTTCAGCAGAGTGGAGGGACGGGCCCCCCGTATGGAGACCTAGCTGAGAACACTAACTGCAGCAAGAGCGGGAGCCTTCAGCCTCGGTACATCGGAAGGTCACCCAGGCTCCTCTTGGTCGTACCGCTGAGGCCTTGGGTGTGCTCTGAGGATGTGAGTGTGTGCAGGGCCACCCATGTTGAAGTAAAACGGGATTCTTCCCTGGTCAGTGAGCCCTTGCACAATACACACCCCAACCTGGGTGTGAGCTGCTTATAGTACAAGCATGATTTATGAAGTAGACAATTGGCCAGGCATGGTGCTACAAGCTGTAGTCCAGTCACGTGTGAGGGTGAGTCGGGAGGATCACTTGGTTAGGGGGCCAGGGGGGTGTCAGGACCCTGTCTAGAAAGAGGAGAAGCACCATCTGATGTGTAGGTGGAAGTTGCTTAAGTTCTAGTTTCATAATAAACAGAACAGAGCCCAGCCCCGGGGGTCCAGGTCCTGAAGTAGCCCCATGGGACTTCCTGGTGACTTTGGGCCCTTGCCCCTGTGGATAGTGTCATGGAGTCAGGGCTCAGGCCACTTACTGGGGCAGGTGTTTTTCTTTATTTTTTTTAGATAAGCTTTCACTGGGTAGCCCTGGCTGGCCTGGAACTCACAGAGATCCACTTACCACTGTCCCCTAAGTGCTGGGATTAAAGGTGTGCGCCACCATTCCTGGCCTAAGGGCAACTTTTAAAATTGTATTTCATTTCATTTTGTGTGTGTGTGTGGGGGGGGGGTTTCCTGCATGTATGTCTGTGCACCACATGCTTACAATGTCCAAAGAGACGAAAGAGGGTGTCAGATGGCTAGAAACTAGAATTACAGACAGATGTGAGCCACCACCATTCAGATGCTGGAAATTGAACCCAGGTCCTTTGAAAGCATAGCCAGTGCTTTTAACTGAGGAGCCGTCTCTGCACCCTTTGGGGTGGCCTTGAATCAACTGTGGCACTAACGGTCACAGGTCGTAGATCCCTTCTGCTCCTGCGCATCGTGACCTGGCTGCCTTCCGTGTGCCTGAAGAAGCAGCAGCTGGCCAGCCTCTCATTCTTTTCAAATACCTAAAGTTGTGCCTGAACTTGAATGATTTTGGTTCCTTGACAAGAAGAGACGGGATAGAGGGTTTGTGTCAAATAAGGTCTTCATTTCTCCACCCTCCATTGGGAACTCAGCAGCTAGCAGATCAAGGTGCTGAGGACTGATTCTGTTCTTGGGATCCACACAATGGACGGAGAGTCCTGAAGGTTGTCCTCTGACCTCCATGTGCAGTCAAGACGCACATACGCACGCACGCACTAAATAGATGTAATTTAAAAACCTTTTTTATTGAGTGATGCAGTACAGGACGGTGAGTCGCACTGTGTGAAGCCATCTTCTTTGGACACTTTGTCAGTGATGATGTGACCAGAGTGCACAGTGATAAGAATGACTATCATGTCCCCACAGGTTCACCAGAGTGGCTCCGGCTGGTCTCCAGTGGTGAGTTAGCCTTTCTGGGGGGCAGGGTGAGTTAAGTCTATCTGATGGGCTATCGGAGGTGGGGTTGGCAAAAATATTGCTCAACTTGACCGTTTACTGAGGCTGTTTTCCAAGCATGCAGGTAAGATCAAGGACTGGCGGGCCTTGTCTGTGGGGCTGATGGACCTGTGCTTTCTGGTTCCATGGCTACCAAGTGGTGGTGTGAAACTGACCACAGTGTGTCCCAGTCAAACCTCACCTCCAAGACCGGATTGTGAGGTCTCTGCTCATCCAGTTAGGACACCTGAGGAGATGGTGTTTGTTTTAGCTTCGTTAACCTGTTGTTGAGGCACAGGCCAGACTTGGCCTCTTGTAGATCTCACCGTGGCCACCTAAGGCTGCAAAGGCAAGCATAGGTGTGAGGGCACATGATACCTTCATCTTGAGATTTTTTCTTTACCAAATCCCCTGGGAAGTCCCCACATGTGGTTTGTGTGAGGTGCTGTGCCCGTTCCCACCAGCAAACGTGTTTCTCCCCATTCCCTCTGCAGTACGTGGAGGACAACCTGGGGGTGATGTCTGTGGGTTTCCTGCTCAGCAGCCCTGATGATGCCGTCATCTGGAGGGGACCGAAGAAAAATGGTTGGTCACTCTGCTCCTCTGTCTCAAATTCCTGGATCTGCCTACATCCAGACTAGCCTGTCAGGGAAACTGCACGCATGGGTTCAGTGGTATTTGGTGCTATTGCTTTGGTACTGGGGACGGACGGACGGAGCCCAGGTCCTGCATACTAGTGCTTGACCTGGAATGAGAAATGCCAGTTTTCAGTGTAGACATTTTAGTACCTGCTGCGAGCTCTTCTGCTCTTAAGACTTTCAGAATCCTGAAGTTATTTGTAGTGTGGTGTCACGTGGCTGGTTTGTGTCAAGGAAGGAGGTGTGAAGTGAAACCCCTTGCTGGGTCAGTGTGGGGAAACAAAGGCATGCAGAAAGCATGGCCCGGGGCAGCCACCTTCTCTCACTACTGACACTTCGGTCACATGAGTCTGTTGGGGCAATATGTCCGTACCATACATAATGATAGTAGTACTCCTGACCTCATGGCCACCCAACATGTCTGCAGACCTCACCTCCTGCTCCCTGGGGACAACAGAATCACTTGTTGAGGGCCCCTGCCATGGAGTGTAGGAATGCTCGTGCAGACTGAAAGATCCTTCTGGAGATGTGTACAGAAGGAGGGCACACACTCAGCCTTGCTCCCTTCCAGGCATGATCAAGCAGTTCCTCCGTGATGTAGACTGGGGAGATGTCGACTACCTCATTGTAGACACCCCACCCGGCACATCCGATGAGCACCTCTCTGTTGTCCAGTACCTGGCTGCGGCGCACATTGATGGGGCGGTGATCCTCACCACCCCTCAGGTGAGTGAGCACCAAGCCATGGTCACATTCCCCAGCACTCGATGGTGTACCCAGTGTCACGGCCATCCCCTGGACCACATGTGTCTTCCAGTGCCCTGTGGCTGTGGGATAACTGCTCTGTGAACTTTGCCAGGAGGTGGCCCTCCAGGATGTCCGGAAAGAGATAAGCTTCTGCCACAAGGTGAAGCTGCCCGTTATTGGTGTGGTGGAGAACATGAGCGGCTTCATTTGCCCCAGGTGCAAGGTGAGGGTCCCGGGGTGGGGCCACTGCACCCCCCTGTCTTAGTGGGGAAACAGCAGGGGTGCTTCTCTAGGCTCCCTGCTGGGTCAGGGAGGGTCTCTGTCAAGCCCTCCTCTGCCTGAGTGAAGATGCTTTGGAGTTTCACATCCAAAAATTAGCCACTGTTTTAAAACATCTGGAAACTAGTGTGTCCTAAGATACAGAAGCAGAGTAAAACTTCCTCCTCTTTCTGCTTCACAGAAAGAGTCCCAGATCTTCCCTCCCACAACTGGGGGTGCAGAGGCCATGTGCCAGGACCTGAAGATCCCTCTTCTGGGCAAAGTGCCACTGGATCCACTCATCGGTGAGTCTGAGGGGCTTATGCTGCTTACACAGCCATCATAGCAGCTCGAGGGCTCGGAACAGCAGTGGTGGGTCAGAGCTGGACCCACAGAGTTCCTTAGAGGCTGCAGCCAGTGAGGCCTGGGCCAGGTACCTCAGATCCACTCCATGAAACCCCAGCCACATGCCCCTAGGCCTGCAGGACCCCTTCGTCACAGCAAGCGCTGAGACAGCCCACTCCATGCCACTTGGGTGGGCACTGATATGCTATGGGGACCATGCTGAGTATCATAGGATCCTGACATTTGCACTCTGAGTGGCTTCAAAACTGGAGAAGGAGTACACACCTATCTCCACCCCAGGCTCACCCAGGATATCAGCTTGTGGAGGGAAGTGGAGACAGGCAGGGGCTCGGCTTCCCCTAGATTTCAGTTCCCCAAGATAAGAGCTGAGCTTGTGTGAGTGGTGAGTGCCTGTGACAGGACTGGCCTGTGAGTGGGGCAGTGCCGAGCCTGACCAGAGTGGACTCAGCTGCAGGTGGCTGTGTGCCCAAGTGTGGGAGCTGGCCTTTCCTGGCAGGGACGCCGGGACTGAGATGTTTGAGCAGGGCCTGGTGTATGCCAGGCAGCAGCATGGGGACCTGGGCACAAGGGAGGTTCACAACCAATGAGCTATGTCTCCCCGGGTCACATATGGTCTGTGTGTGTGTGTGTGTGTGTGTGTGTGTGTGTGTGTGTGTGTGTGAGAGAGAGAGAGAGAGAGAGAGAGAGAGAGAGAGAGAGATCCACCCCAGTGTGGGTGACCATAAAGATGAACTGATATGGGGAGAGAGCAGAGGGTAGGGTGTGGGCACCGTCACGAGAGGCTGTGTGTGTTCTGCATGGACATGTGCATTTCTGGGGAGATGCTCCGTTCACCCTGCCTGCATTTCCTTTCTTAGCCCTTAGGTCTTGCCACACACACAGTCTCTGTTGATTCCCTCCCCTGAATTCTCATTTTCTTGGGCTGCTGGTTAGTGGATCTAATGCAGATTCCTGGGCCCGCCCGGAGCAGCACAGTTCTTTGGCCCTGGAATCTGCATTTGCCATGTGCCGCCCAGCTGGCTTGCGGCAACGGCAAAGGAAAGCAAGAGTTGCTAGGGGCGGGGACGCAGCTGAGGCCTCTGTTGTGTGCCCCAGCTTTGCTCCCCATGAGTGGGGAGCCCCAGGCAGCCGTGCCCCAGCAAGCACCAAGTGGGGCTTTCACAGGGTCTCGTGTTCTGTCTCTTTAAGGTAAGAGCTGTGACAAAGGGCAGTCGTTCTTTGTTGAAGCCCCAGATTCACCAGCCACAGCAGCCTACCGAAGTATAATTCACAGTGAGTGCTTGAGACGGCTACTGGCAGGAAGTCCCTGGAGGGGTGACGTGGGCAGAAACAGAAGGGTGATCACCTGGCTCCTCGGGAGTCTTCTCCCCATGTGTCCGTGTTGTGAGCTAATTCTTAGTTTGAGAAACAGGGAGGGTGAAGTTGAAGCGTGGGAGATACAAGCCATAAAGGCCAGTGACACTGATTGAAATCCTAGCTGTGGAGGGCCAGAGCGGGCCATGGCAGCTGTGGGCCTGGGTCCTGCGGAGGGACAGGCGAGAGCTCACCCCTCACTTATTTTCTAGGAATCCGAGAGTTTTGTGGGTCTCGTCAGTCACATAATGCGGACCTCATCAGGGGACAGGACCTGTAGGCCCAGGTGGTCAGCCGGGACAGGATTTGAAGTCACTTCCTTAAGACTTTAATCACCTATCTGCCTGCTTCCTCCAGATCAAAGGTATAGGTACTCTGCATACAGGTGCCATTCATCGTAAAATAAAACTGTCTCCTTGAACCCGTCCCTGAGGGGCTGCTTTCTGGAGTCCAAAGACTCCCAGGAGCTCTTTCTGCCTCAAGTGTAAACCTAGGGAGGGACAGAGGAAGACTGTGGCTTTGGACGGAAGTGACAGCGGCCTCGGCCCACACTGGGTCTCCAGCTCTGGGATCACGCTTTGGCGAAGGGCCATCAACCCCCTCCCTCAGAAAGGCCCAGAAGGCGCCCACAGGGTAGTAGGTACCCTCAGGACATCCAGTAATTCTCAGGGTTCCAGGCAAACTCTTTCCTGGTGTTAACTCTCCTGACCTGAGACTGAGTGAGGCAGGGGCTGAGCTGCTGAGGGAAGTCCTTTCAGATCCCCACACCACTGTGCTGTGGCAGGAGAAGGTGGGCAGCCCCTCCCTGTCCTCCTCTTCCCTTTCACACACGTACTCTTGGAATGTGCTGGGGTCTCTGTGGGCAAGATGTGACCTTCCTGAAGGTCAGTGGTTCTGGACAGGCCTAAACTTCGGGGCTCCAGCTTGGACTTGCTCCAGGTCAGCTTGGAGCACTGAGGAGAGTCCCCCTAGACCTCGGGCAGAGCTGCCCAGGGCTGCATGTCCCATGAGTGCCCAGGCCTCAGGTCTGCATCCATTGCTTACCTAATGCTGGTGGATGTCCAGTCCTTCAATCCTGGGCTTCTGAACGTCACTTGGGGATGCCTGTAAGGCAAGAAGAGCCATGACTGCCCCAGTGAAGAGCCATGACTGACAGAGACATTGCCACAAGCAGCAGCATTGAGACCACTGCACACTGAACCTGTCAGACCAAAAACTCCTCCGTCCCTCCCTTCCAGAAATACTCCTGGGGCTGGAGAGGTGGCTCAGCAGTTAGGAGCACTGGCTGCTCTTCCAGAAGACCTGGGTTCAGTTCCCAGAACCCACATGGCAGCTCACAACTGTCTGACACCCCCCACACACACACACAGACCTGCATGCAGGTGAAACACCAGTGCACATAAAATGAAAATAAATTATTTAAAAACTGTTTCCTGGCTTCAGAACAAAACAGAAGGCTTTGTCACTCCTTTCCTTAATTCTGCGGGGCGGTTTTTTTTTTTTTTCTTTTTTTTTTTTCTTTTTTTTTTTTTTTTTTTTTTGTGTGTGTGTGTGTGTGTGTGTGTGTGTGTGTTTATGTAGGTATGTGCAGGTTTGTGCATGCACCTATGGGAATCAGGACAACTTTTGGGGGATTAGTTTTCTCTTTCCACCCTGGTTTTGAGGCAGGGTCTCTACCCTGTCTCTGTACTGTGTACTCCATGCTAGTTGCCCATGAACTTCTATATCTACCTTTCATTTTACCCCAGAACTACCATGATTATAGATGTATGCCACCACATCTGGCTTTTGTGGATTCTTGGGATTGAATTTAGGTTGTCAGGTGATGGGAGCCATAAGCCTAAGCGACCCTTGACACACATGCTGCCATATTTGGGTTTCTCTCCTCTTTTCTTAGGTCTAGGCCTTGCTTAAGTCTCCATAGCACCAGAACCTCTTCCCACAGATACCAGAACCTCTTCTCAGATATCAGGTGACCAAGCTGTAGTTAGACAATTAGGCAATTAGGTAAGAGTAGATAGATAAACCCAGAGCAATATTCCCTGCTGGCTGAACAGCCCATAATTAAGTTGCTTCCGGCTTGCAAACCCCTTTGCCTACCTATATAAGCCTTGTGAGAAAAATAAAATTTTGGAGCTTGATCAGACGTCCTGTCTTGCTCTCATTCTTTGTGTCTCTTGTCCCTCTTATTCCCCAGCCCTCCCTTTAAGTCCCTGTTGAAGACCCCGCTGGCCAGGGCAGTCAGGCTTACACATCCAGTACTTTTACCTACTGAGCCATCTCCCTGGCCAATTCTGTAGGTTTTTGTTTTATTTAATTTGATGGGTGTGAGTGTTTTGCCTGAGTGAATGTATGCATGTATTAATGTGTGTGCTTGGTGCCTGTGGAAATCACAAGAGGGTGTCAGATCCATTGGAACTGGAGTTACAGATGACTGAGCCACCATGTGGGTGCTGGGAACCCAATCTGGCTCCTCTGCAAAAGCTTTGTTCTCTAAGCCGCTGAGCCATCTCTCCAGCCTCCAATTCTATAGTTCTAAATATCACTTAAAACTAAACAGTAGGACTGGAGAGATGGTTCAGAGGTTAAGAGCACTGGCTGCTCCCCCAGAGGTCCTGAGTTCAATTCCCAGCATCCACATGGTGGCTCACAACCATCTGTAATGAGATCTGGTGTCCTCTTCTGACATAAAGGTGGACATGCAGGTAGAGCATTCATATACAAAATAAAAAAATCTTTAACAAAACAAAACAGTAGTCACAAATGTCAGATTCTGACTGTGCTGATAGGAGCTGTCAGTCCCTTACAGACAGGATGGTGGGTGCCAGCAGCCAAGGACAATGGGGAGCTAGCGTCTAAAGGCTCTGGTTGGAGGTGAGAAGGTTTTGGAGCTAGACCATGGCATCTGCAGTGCTGTCCCTAGAACTAATTTACCTATTATGCTTTTTATTTATTTATTTATTTATTTGCTTATTTATTGAGACAGGATCTTACTATGTAGCCCTGGCTGGGCTGGAACTCATTTAGACCAGGCTGGTCTCAAACTCATAGATCCACCTGCCTCTGCTCCAGAGTACTAAGATTAAAAGTGTATACCATCATGCCGAGCTCGAACTATACATTGGAAATAGTCAACATGGTAGATTTTACATATACACAGTAAAAACCATGGTTAGCCAGCTGGTAGGAAGACTGTTAGGAATGGCAGTTGCCAACAGACAGATGCCCTTCACTTGGTCACTCACCATCTGGAACACCGTCTGGGACAGAAAGCTGGCCGCAACTGTACCGATGTCACCCTCGCCCCCCATCTTACAGAGGATGTAGCCATAGAGGTTGGCAGCTTGGAGGGAAATCCCAGCGATCACAAGAGCCTGCATTGGGCAAAGCAAAGGGAAGCCTGTTGAGCATGCGGACTGCGTGGGAAGGGGTAGCCTAAGCAAACGGAGGAGACAAGCTGAGAGACAGAAGCTGCCCAAAGCCATGGAGGTGGGGAGGTGGGGGGGGCAGTGTGGAAGCCAAACCGTGCAGCCCACTTTACCATCATGGTGCTGCTGCTACTGTGACCTGTGTTCTGTGTCCCCAGTGAATGGACAGCCCTCCCAAATAAAACCTGAGTACTGTCAGCCTTCCCACCCAAGAAAGGTGGTCTGTTAATGGATACTGTACTTTTTAATAGAAACTCCTTCCTGGGGCCTGAGGATGTAGCTCAGTGGAGTACTTGCCTAGCATTCACACAGCCCTGGGTTCCTTCCCCGGTACCTCAGAAACAACAATTTCATATCAGCATTATTCCCTATCCACTAATGAATGAAACAGAATGTGGTATACTCATACTGTGGATACTAACCATGCAAAGAAACAGTGTGCTGATACATGCTATATTTTGGTTGGACCTGAACATGTGCTAAGTGAAAGAAGCCTCTTAGAGAAGAACAAATATATTATTTCACAGGCAAGTCTATCTAGGAAGGTGAGTGCCAGGGGGCAGGAAAATGGCATAGAGGGCAAGGTCTACAAAGTATAGATTTTCTTTGGGTGGGGGTGATGAAAATAATTCTAAGATGGGCTGGAGAGCTTGCTGTTCTCAGAGGACCTGAGTTTGGTGCCCAACACTCCTGTCAGCAGCTTACAAAAAGGCTTGTAGTTGCAATTCCAGGGGAACCCATGCCCTCTTCGGGGCCCTGAGGGCACCCACACTTGCCGCACACCACACGCAGGTACACACACACACACACACACACACACACACACACACACACACTTATAATAAAATCTTTTGAAAACCCTAAGATTGGCTGTGATAGTTATATAACTGCAAAAATGACGGAAGCCCCGAAGATATCCTCCAAATGGTGAATATATCCACTATGTGGCTATCTCCACCAAACTGTTAGGGTGACCACCGGGTCAGGCCACTTCCAGCCCCTGTCTGTCACAGCAGCAGGGGGATCAGGGTATCTTACCAGCCACTTCAGCTTCAAGGAGAACAAGGTGCTGAAGAAGAACACGATCCAGATCACTGGGCAGATGATGAGGCCAAGCCAGAAGATGCGCGCCTCTGCCTCAGTGGCGGCCATGTGGCTTGGAGAGACCTGTTGGGGGACAGCCACTGTCCTTTCTCAAGCAGTGACTGTAAGATGAATTGCTAAACCATCTTATTAATAAAAAACCGGGAGCCAGATATTGGGGTGAAAACTGAGAGATCAGAGGAATAGAACAAGCCACAGCCAAGCTCACCTTACCAACCCTCAGCCTTCAGAGACAGTTACTTCCTGTTTACTCACGCCTGTATCCTTTCTGTGCCCGGCCATCTTACTTCTCTCTGTCCAGCTACATCACTTCCTGTCTGTCTGTACAGACCTCCAGACCTCTATGGTTAGTGCTGGAATTAAAGGCGTGTGCCACCATACCTGGCTCTGTTCCCAGTGTGGCCTTGAACTCACAGAGATCCAGATGAATCTCTGCCTCCCGAATGCTAGGATTAAAGGCGTGAGCTACCACTGCCTGATCTCTATGTTTACTATAGTGGCTGGCTTTTCCTCTGTTCCCCAGGCAAGATTTATTGGGGTGCACAAATAAAATATCACCACAAGTGACTCTTGTTTTTGCTTGTTTAGTGTGCACTGTTGCTGTGTGGGTTTCACAAAGGATTTGTGTAGGGCAGGGTCTGGTCTGGCACACACAGTGCTCAGGGAACCTGTGTAAGCTGCACACAGCCTTGTCCAGGTTCTTAATAGTTTGTCTTGTCTCACAGAGTACCTTTCTGGCTTCAAATATCCAGTGGCTTTTTCCGTCTTCGTCTATCTGGTTCCACCATCGAAGACCCACCATGAGTCTTCCAGTTACATTCTGAGGAAAGTGGGCAAAAGGGCTGTGAGCACACAAGGAACAAAATGGCTAATTGTTTCTGTAATGGTCTTCCTATGTAGCCCAGGCTAGCCTTGAGTTCTTAAGCCTCCTGCCTCGGCTTCCTAAGTGGTGAGCACTGGGTGTGTGCCAATGCACTGACTAGTGTTTGCTGTGAACTACAGAGGACATCAAGAGAGGGTGTGGGCTGTAAGGTGACGGTGGGTGGGATGCTGCTGCCAAGCCTGCTGACCCGAGTTCAATTCCCCAGGACCCACATGGTGGAAGGAGAACTGACTCTGCAACCTGTCCTCTGACCACATGTACATCGCAGCACACGTGCGCATGCTCACACACAAAAGAAAAAGGGGAAAGGATGTTGAGTTGTAACTGCTCCTCAAGTGAGCTTTCCAGGCTTCTCGTCGTTAACAAGCTTACTTTTTTTGTTTTGTTGTATTTTTTCAAGTCAGGGTCTCACTTGGTTGGCCCAGAACTTACTAGATATACCAGGCTGACCTCAAATTCAGAGATCCACCTGCCTCTGTCCACCTACCCCCTTTCCTCCCACCCCCTGAGTGCTGATATTAAAGAGGTGTGCCACTATACTGGCCCTTACCATTTTAAAAAGTGGAATTCTGGCCAGGTGTCGTGGGCAGTGCACACCTTGAACCCCAGTCCTCAGGCAGATCTCTGTGAGCTGGAGTTAGCCAGGGTTACATAGTGAGATGCTGCCTCAAAATAAAACAGACGGTCATAGTGTGTGTGTGTGTGTGTGTGTGTGTGTGCGCGCGCGCGTCATGAAAATTGTGCAAAGTCCAAATGTGTGTGTGTGTGTGTGTGTGTGTGTGCGCGCGCGCGTCATGAAAATTGTGCAAAGTCCAAAGCCATGTGGGGTCGTCCCCCGTGACGCATCTGTGCACCTGTGACAACTGACCCTGGAAATCACTTACAGAAGCGGTTTTGCTCTCTAATGATAAGTGCCCTGGGCCCCGTAATCCTTCAAGTTTTTAAACATTAATTTTGTGTGGAGGAGAAGGCCACTCATGTGCCACAGCATACTTGTGGGGGTCAAGGGACAAGTTGTGGGGTTCGGTTCTCTCCTTGCACCATGTAGATTCCAAGAATCGTACTGAGGTCCACGCTTGACAAGCACCCTTCACCTGCTGTGCTCTCTTGCTGGCCCCTCGGTGTTTAAACAGTTTAAACCAAAGCAGCCCTGGATCCCACAGCACCGCCCGGGAGCAAAGCCCACAGGTCCCTGGAGAGGGAGCCTCACCTTCACAGACCAGAAGTCAAAGGCCAGAAGGAGGAGCACCGTGACGAAGCAGCCCACGAAGCTCCTGCTGAACCAGTCACAGCACACATAGGTGACGATGGCGCTCACGCGGAAGAACAGGTGGAAGAAGGTGGCCAGGGGGTGCCTGGGGAGAAGCCAGGAGCAAGGTCATTAAATTCACTTTGGCATCACCAGAGGGGCATTTGTCTCTGGGTGGTTCAGCTCAAAACTCAGCACTGTTCACACACTTCAGCATTCCCCAAAATGACAAAGTCTCACGCATCCTAGGCTGGCCTCAATGATGACCAGTGATGTCCCCGAATTTCAGATTCTCCTCCCTACACTGCCTGTGTGCTAGATTACAGATGTGCACACCTGGTCTATGTGGTGCTGGGGATCACACTTGGGACCTTGTGCATGTTATGCAAGCACTGTACACCTGAGCTACACCCCAGCCTCTGAAACGTGTTAGGACACTACTCGGTTTTCTCCCTCGAAGAACCCAGGACTTTCCCCTAATGTGACTCCAAACATCATTTGCCCTCTTGGAAACAAGGTCACCTCTGAAGTGAAGTGAGATTGATTTCTGTCTTCCCACCAGTGGTGACAACAGTTCCCTAAAAGTAAAGTTTGGGTCATTCCACCAGCACACGTGAGCTCACAGGGCAGAGCTCACAGGGCACCAGCACACGTGAGGTGAGCTCACAGGGCAGAGCTCACAGGCCACCGGGCAAAGTATCTTCCTAGAGAGTGGAAATAGTGATGAAACGAATGGGTATCCAGCTCATGCCAGTTGCTTGGCAGCGAGTGGTAACTAGATGCTGGGGTTTCCTCAGACATGGGTCCCTGAGCACTATGCTTTCGGATGCCAGCCTGCCTCAGAAGAGCCTGAGCCGTGGGAGGCCCTCAGCCTGCAGCAGCGGCTTTTAGAGAAATCAGGGAACTAGAGCTGGGCTGACTGCCAAAAGGATCACTAACCCGTCTGGAGCAGACAGCAATGGCCACCGAGGACATACTGATGGCAGTGGGTGACACTGAGAGGATGTGGCTTTCAGATTCTTGCTGTGGTGTCCCAGTTCCAAACAGCACACAGGTAGAGTGCAGATACGTGAGATGGAGCAAAGTCCGCAGCAGCAGCTATGAGACAACGGCAATGAGGACAGCACTCTGAGTGGCTGGAGTGTGGCTTGGGTGACAGTGGTCACCTGGCCTGCACAAGGCGCTGGGTGTGATCCCAGCACTTCACAGACCAGGTGTGGTGGAGCACACCTGGAATACCCACACTTGGGAGGTAAAAGCAGGAGGATTAGAGTTCATCAGCCACATGGAGATGGGAGGCTAGCCTGAGATATATGAGACCTTGTCTTAAAAAAAAAAAAAAAAAAGCTAATTCTTTAAATAAAATATCACAGACTATGTTCCTAACTAGCCTGTGGTCTGTCCACATGACACTTCTGGATTAGTTATAAAACATGGATTTAAAAAAAAATGGCAGGCAGGGGCTAGAGAGATGTCTTGGAGGTTAAAACGCTTGCTGCTCCTCCAGAAGACCAGCGCTCTATTCCCAGTACCCATGTCTGGCGGCTCACCACCCTCCGCAGCTCCAGCTACAGGGGACCCGATACTTTTTCTGCCTCCAACGGCACTGACCTCATGTATGTGCACTTGCTCACACTCACACGCACACACACACAAAATGTCTTTTTAAAATGGCAGGTAAAGGGGGTGGTGAAAGAGACCTCAGCAGAACTGCGGGGGAGGCCGATGACCCTTGGGAAGGCGGTCAGGGAGCAAACCAGAGGCACCTGTAGAGTCGTGTCTGGCTCACAGCGGGATGTTCAATGAGATCCAGAAACAGGATCGAATCACCCATGCTTGGTGTTCTGCAAGGCGAGGCCGGTCGGTGCAGAGGAGCAGCTGTGTGCCAGAACACTCTCCTCTGACAAGGTGAGGGCTTGTTCTGTGCCGGGAGATGGCCCTGCCATTTCATATTGGACATGATTATGTGGCACTTCAAAACTTCCTAGAATATTCCAGAGGATAACATTTGTGGGGGCTCACGCTCCTTTACCCTGAACCTGGTTAGTGATTTTCAGCTAGCTGTAGCAGCACAGTTTGCCTCTTCACCCAGGTAATGCTAGAGACAGACTCACCCTGGACATTCTTCCAGGCTAAGGTCACATCCAAGACATTTTAAATAGATCTGGAAAGATGTCTCAGTGGAGAAATGTTTGCCATGCAAGTGTGAGTACTGGAATTTAGATCCCAGAAATCCACAGAAAAGGGTGGGTGTGGTTGCCTGCTTCTAATCCCAGCTCTGGAAAGGCAGAGACAAGATCCCTGGGCAAGCTGGCTAGCCAGTCTTTTTTTTTTTTTTTTTTTTTTTTCCCTGACACAGGATTTCTTTGTGTAGCTTTGGAACCTGTCCTAGAACTCACTCTGCAGACCAGGGTGGCCTTGAACTCACAGAGATCTGCCTGCCTCTGCCTCCTGAGTGCTGGGATTAAAGGCATGCGCCACAACCACCCGGCAGCTAGCCAGTTCTTTAATGTACACACACATACACATGCAAAAAATATTTTATTAGTCCCTGAAATAATTCCTAAAATTTAATGTATTTGTTGTGTTAAATATTGTGATTGAGTCGATTGAGATCACTGGGAAGGGCTGCAGAGATGACTCAGTGGTCAAAAGCACTGGCTGCTCCTTCAGAGGACCTGGGTTTGATTCTCAGCACCCATATGGCGGCTCACAACCACCTATAACTCCTGTTCCGGGAATTCAGTGACCTCTTCTGGCCTCTTCAGAAACTGCATGTGATATATAGACATACATGCAGGCAAAGACCTATACATGTGAAATAGATGAAGTCTTTTTTTATTTATTATTATTATTTTATTCTTCTCTCATATATTACATCCTGACTGCAGTTTCCTCTCCCTCCTCTCCTCCCAGCCCCTCCTCCCTACCTCCCCTCTGCCCCCAGTCCCATCCACTCCTCCTCTGTCTTCCCTTCAGAAAAGGGCAGGCCTCCCAGGGATATCAACCAAACATGGCATGACAAGTTACAATAAGACTAGGCACAAACCCTCATATCAAAGCTGGATGAGGCAACCCAGTAGGAGGAAAAGGGTCCCAAAAGTAGGCAAAAGAGTCAGAGGCACCCCCTGCTCCCACTGTTAGGAGTCTCACAAGAACACCAAGCTACACAACCATAACATATATGCAGAGGACCTAGCACAGACCCACGCTCATTGTCCGTTGAATCTCGGCAAGCCCCTATGAGTCCTGTTTAGTTGATTCTGTGGGTTTTCGTCCTCTGGCTCCTACAATCCTTTCTCCCCCACTTCCAAAGGATTTCCTGAACTTGGACTAACATTTGTCTGTGAGTCTCTGCATCTGATCCCATCAGTTGCTGGCTGAAGCCTCTCGGATGACAATTATTCTGGATGATTATGAACTCTTTTTTTTTTAATCACTGGGAACACACGCAAGTGGAGGTCTGAGGACAACTTTTCAGAATCAGCTCCCTCCTCCCACCAGGGGTTCTAGGGTTAAAACTCAGGTGGTCAGGCCTGCGCTTTTACTCTGGACAGTCTTGTCCACCTGCTTCCTTTATTCTTATCAGGAGGTGTTTTGATTACTATTATTCAAGCAGAGCCTGATGCACGTCAAACCATGGCTCGAGTCCTATTCTGCTCTTTCAGCGCCTCTTGAGTCTACAAGTGGAGTTGGCCCAGCTTGTCAATGCCAGGCTAATACTCAGGTGGCCAGAGACTAGCTTCTAAGCTTTGAAGGCTGTGGCTCCAGCCCTGAACACATATAGGGTACTCAGGGCAGCAGGCTTCCCGATGCATCCCTTGAGAGGCAAACGGCAGGATGATTCTGGGCTGGCTGGGGGTCAGCCTTCCAGGTCCCTTTCTTAGTAGCTCTATTGCCTTTCCAATGCTGTGCAACTTCCCATGGCCTCAGGCTGGGGAGACGGCTCAGGGGTAAAAGTACTTGCTGTGCAAAGGTAAGGGCCTGAATTTGATTCCCCGGAGCCCAAGTAGAGCAGGACACAAGCCAGGAACGTCTGAGCTCCAGGCATTCTTATGGATAAGGGGAGGCAGAGACGCTGGGATTCCCAGAAGCTCTCAGGCCTGCTTAGGCTGGCCTGTATAGAGGGAAAACAGAGAGACTCTCAAAACAGGATGGGCACTGAAGATCAGCCCCCATGTGTTCTCGACCACACAAGCACTCTGACATGGGAACACGTCCATTCACACAGAAAGGCCTCACTTCTCCTCTGTAAACAGGCACAGTGTCCCTTTCTAGGACTCTGAAGAAGTGGTGTGGTGGTGGCATCGCAGTGTTCCGCAACACACACTGCTCTGTGATTGAGAACAGCTGTTACCTCAGCCCAATGTCACTCAGACTGGTCCTCACCACCAAGGAGCCACAAGGAAATTCCCCCCTGACCTCAATCTTTTTGTCATGCTGTGGGGGGGGGGGGCATTTTCAAGGGATCTTCCAGGATTCCTAATCCCCCCACAACCCCTAAAAGGTCCCTCTTCATGCTCAACTGATAGTATTTTCTACTCAGTATCCAACCCTCCCCTCAAAGAGACACCTAGAAGCTTCCTATCTCAAGGGCAAGTGTGGTGGTTGTTGTTTTTTTTAACCCTTGGGGGCCCACCATCCAGCTCCCAAATAAATACACGGAGACTTACTCTTACTTATGAATGCCCGGCATTAGCTTGGCTTGTTTCTAGCCAGCTTTCCTAACTTAAATTATCCTTTTTCTCTTTAAACTATATTTTGTCTCTGGGCTCTTTACCTTTCTTTATTCTATATATCTTTCTTTCCTTCTTACTCCACGGCTGGCTGGGTGGCTGGCCCCTATCTTGAAGTGGACACCCATTTCCTGGGGAACACAAGGTAGGTTCTCAACTTGAAGTGTGTGTAGGTCTCACTGGAGGTCTTAACCTGTGCCTGGTAGAGGAACGCACAGGCTGGGAGGTCGGTCCCACCACAGAAGTGCACTGCTCCAACGCCAGGAGACGGGAGGCATGAGAAGCACACCACGTGAATTCCGCTGTGTGAAGAGGCTGTGTCAGCGAATCACAGAACCAGAGAGATGGTGAAGAGGCCATTCTGCGGGGGTTCTGAGAGCGGAGGAGGGGTACAGGTGCACGGGGGCTTTGGATCAGCGAAGCTGTTCTCTCAATGCTATAGTGGAGGGTGCGAGTCACCACACACATTTATCAGACCCCACGGAATGTATGGCCAGAAGAGAGAGGGCCCTGTGGGAAGGCTGGACTGTGGTTAGTAAGGTGTTGTTCAGTAGCTGTAACAAGTGTGCCACAGTTGTGGGATGGGAATCGAAGGGAAGTGTGGGCACTGCAGCTTCTGCGCCGTTTTTCTTTTTTGAGACAGGGTTTTGTATCCCAGACTGGCCTCCATTCACTATGTAGCCAAGGATAACCCTGATCCTCCTGTGTTTTGGGGTTGCAGGAACCCACCCTCATTTCTGGGTTACAGAGTGCTGGGATCAAACCCAGGGCTTTGCACATGCTTGGTAAGCACTGAGCCAGCTGAGCCACACCCCCAGCCCTCTGCTCTGTTTTTCTGTAGACCTAAAACCCCTTAGCACAGGTTATGTAATAAGGGGGATGGGCACCTGGGTGTGGGCTCTGTGCGTACACACAGGAAGCCGCCGCCGGTAACCAGGGCCGAGCGGCGGCCTGAGCACTACTCAAACGAGCCAAGGTGGTCTGTGCAGAAGGCAACTGGACCATTTTCAGCTAGGCACACACAACCCCTTCGCACCACCTTTCACAGCAGCTCTGAACAGGAGGAAAGGGCCACTGCCCTAAATGTAACAGGGATCCAACATGTGTCTTTAAAAACTGTTCTTGGGCTGGCAAGATGGCTCAGGTGATGATCTGAGTTCAATTCCCAGGACCCACATTGTAAAAAGAGAACCATCTCTTCCAAGTTGTCTTCCAACCTCCACACATGTCTGCACCCTTATTTGCACACATAAAAGAAGGTAGGAAGGGAGGGAGAGAGAGAGAGAGAGAGAGAGAGAGAGAGAGAGAGAGAGAGAGAGAGAGAGAAGGAAGGAAGGAAGGAAGGAAGGAAGGAAGGAAGGA